TGTTTTTGAAAATCTCAATACAGTCAGTGTAGCAGTATATTAAGAACCTGAAGCGCTGGTATAGTTTAAAAACTTATTTTTAAATGACTCTAGTTTTATGCTTTGTTTAGAAAATACAATTATGTTTTTCATTTTTTTTTCTTTTATTTACTTTTTTTTTAAATTTAAAGGAACACAGTTGTTTGTCCAAATCACAGACCAAATGTGCACCTGGAAAAATATCATCTATAGAAATACAAAAAAACGAGTTCGGTAATGTAAACGTCAAAAATTTAACTATCCCATACATTCATATGTATAACTGTTAAGTCAAGTATATTCTTAAACATAAAATGATTTTGAAATTTCGCCACCGGAAAGAAATTGCCGTCTAGAGGACCATTACATTCTATTTCAAATGTAAACTTCTGCAAGTCAACAACATAGCCGTAAAACAGAACTGTATGTTTTAAGCAACGCATATGTTGCAAGGGAAAAAAAATGTATGGCTCAAGATATATAGGAGACCCATGTTTGCCATTTCTAAGACCGGAAAAAGTCAGATCGCTTAATGTAATGTTCCTATTTTTAGACGATTTCTTTGTAAAATCGAAGCTTCCAACAATCTATTTCAGCATATATAGAGCAGTAACAATTTCTTTGTAAAATCTTTCGTAAAATAAAGTTGCAAGTACGTTTCGGTCTAGAAAACCAGGACGTTTTATTGATAGCTTAATGAGATTGGCCAGGCTGTATGCCCGGATGCTCTATAAATCAATTTCGACCATCAAATAACAAATCCTAGAAGACGCAGATTGTTTTAAGAAACTGACTGTGGCATTAACACCTGTGTTTGTGGGATTTTTAAAAATATTTTTTTTTGAGATTACCGGTAACATAGCTATCTTAACAAAACGTTCCAGGTTCCTGCAAGAGGCTCGTCTGTAGCTACTCTGGGAGCTCACTCCAACCCAAATCAATCGACCCGAGATTGTGCTCTCACATACATTTCCTGCGCTACGGATATCTGAATGAGAAAGGCCTTCACCTTGTCAGTCCGGATAGAAACCAGTAAGTTTGACGATGGACACGCAGTTATAAAATCATTTTTTTTTAAAAATCAACATTTAAATAAGTTTGTTCCTTTTCCTAAATTGCATTCGCGATGTTACAGGAAACCAAAACAAGTTAATCACATCACTTGGTACGTTCACTCACTACTATATTTAATCAACCTCAAAATTTTACATACACGCAAATGACATTTCCTGTCTAGTTATGTATTTTCTTCCCCCACCCCCCTCCACACATTTTTTTTTTAGTTTTGGGGACTTGATCATATTCTGATTCTTTTCCTTTAATTCTTTTAAATATAATTTAGGGTATGTTTATTTATTATATTACGTAAAATTTGATTTAAATTACTTGTTATTTTCATGTATTAGGGAATGATTAGCCAAAACATCTCAATTTGCACTGTGTCTTCAAAATAATTAAAGCTGACATACACATTTGTTTTTTTGACACATCTTGTTCGTGTCATATCAGCCCGCAAAAAAGCTGTTTTGGGCTGTCCAAACTTTCTAACAATATCTTGTCTTGAGTAACTCAGTCCTCGGTAAATTAATTTTTTTAACCAGCGACGGTTGCCAATGTTCCACCAGGCGTAAATTATTATGCAGTTCTAATCTCGCACAGAATTGCGAAAGGGCTCGTCGGGCTGAAGAAGGCTCACCCAACATTGAAACTCATGGTAACACTGCAACCGAATTCGAAGATGAGCTACGAAAAACTGGCAGCCGATAAAGACCTTCGCGAGTATGCTACATCTCTTACATGTACACATTTTTAAAGACTTACATTATGTGTTATTTACATTTTATATTTAATAGTTGATGCAGCTTGTATTACAAAAGGCTTACATTTTTATGTTCTTTATTAGACCTGATCTTCACTTTTCAGTTGAGAGCTAGCTATTACAAAATTGATGTTGTATTTCTATTGCAAATTTGCGCTCAAACAATGTAAAACAAACAGTTATTTAAAAAAAAAGAAAAAAAAAAAAGAGAGACCTGGAACACCTCAGATCAATTCTTTACATTTTTTTTTCTTTTTTTTCCTTTTTTTTTTTTTTTTAAATG